CAGTGCGCGCCGCGGAGAGCAGGGAGGATCTGGGCTTTTCAGAGGAGATGGGTGTCGTGGGAAAGCTTCACGGTCACGAGGCCCGTGAGGGATGGAGATGGCGAGGTGGAGGCCATGACGCTGAGCGACTGCGTGGTGACTGCGCCGGTGGTGAGCGACGCGAGGGCGGAGCTGGTGGCGGCTGCTTGGGTGGAGGAGGTTTGGCTGGACGAAGTCATCTAGATGGGAAGAGGATGGCCTGATACCATGTGAAATGAGAGAAGTTGCAGTTCGGCACACATCAAACCGATGGGCCGCGGTCATCTATTTATATGCAGAGAATACAAGGTCAAGTTGTTACAGATTGATCTGGGAAGATCACAACAGAATACATGTGTGCGCATCAAGCAAACTAAGATTCTAACTACCTAACTTGTTATCCACGTTGATGTATATCGGCTGTTTAACAGTGGCCAACTCGCCCGGCTTTGGTGACGCCTCGGACTTGGTCGGTGTCCGTGTCGTCGAGGGCCACTCCGGACAAGATGCGAGCTCCGGGGATCTACACCATGCCGTCGAAGGTTGCGTCGGTGCAAGGTGAGCACCACTGTCGCGTCTCTGTCTTGGGCCTTTGTTTCCTGCGTTGGATGGCGCATGGACGTTAAGCGGCGAGAGGGAGGAGGTGCATCCGAGACCGAGAGGAGTACGGCGGTCCGTAGGAGGGAGGGTGACCGGCAGCATCGCACGGGCAGTGGGCATGGCAGAGACGGACGAGCTCGGAGCGCATGCTGCTTGGGGCTTGCTCGGGGAGGACGCCCTGGGCGAGCAGGTAGTGGGCACGGAGGCCATGAGAGGAGTTGCTCTGCTCTGCTATTTGCAGTGAACCGGTTTTCTCAAGGAAAAACAAAAAGAAAAGTAGAAAAAAAAAATCAGTCAACATGGCATGTTAAATCAGCACTGAATCGAGATGAACAGCAAAACTAGGAGGTATTTTATGTCACGGGGGAGTGTGCCACCAATTGACTGAACCGTGAATTTGAATGACCCAAACGCAGTCGATGCCTTTCGATTCATTTGCATGAATATTGAATTAATTGTCATCTGAGTCGAGAGTCACGCAAGCATCCAGCGTCGTGTGGGCGTTATCATTTAGGCCTTCTTTGGTTTGTAGGAATTTCATAGGAATTCTAGAGGATAGGATTTTTATAGGATTTTTCCTTTAGAGCCATTTGGTTCATAGTAATGGATTCCTATTTCTATATAGGATTGGTTCCTATCCTCCACATTTCATAGGAAAATAAAAATGAGCCTAAACTCAATGAAAAAATTCATTTGAGGATTTGAGTTACATGTCATCTCATTTCCTACAAATTTCATATTCCTATAATAATCCTATCCTATGAATCAAAAGAGGCCTTAGTGTCACACGTGTGCACGCTCCTCGCCCGAGCGGACACAGGACGCTTGCCCGAACGTGTGGGCGAAACTGCTCTTCGCCCACACGACGCTCACAGGGCGATAGATGACAACTACAGGTGTGCATATGTGGTAACTAGTTAATCACACACGGCAGCTATGTTGATCATACATGGCAACTATGGTTTGACAACATGTGGCAACTCCAATTAGTTATACAATGACAACTATATTTAATGATACATGGCAGCCATGACAACTATAGTTAATTACATATGGCAACTAAAGTTGATTACACACGCATTCGGGCTCATGGGATGGGGGTGAGCAGTTGCCACATAGGGTCGTGTGGGCCATCGTAGCTGCGCCCGAACGTGTGAGCAATTTTAATGTTCACCCACATTGGGTCGTGTGGGCTGTTTCCTTCATACAGCCGGACGAGTCATGTGGTTGGATGTCCATTGTGTCACACGTGTGGCAGTTATCGGCGTCTATATTTTAAGGGTAAAAAAAGAAAGTAGGACCGCTTGTAAATTTTATAGATATATAGGAGGAAAAAAGGGAGGGAACCCTTACAAAGTCTACATGACCAATACAAAACCCAAATCTAAACAACGAAGAACTGTATACATCTTACAACAGGAAACTAGGAAACAAAAGAAAGCCTGAAAACCAGCGATAAGGAGCAAACAAACAAAAATAGACTTGCTCCAATGAGAAGCCCGCATCCGCATTCGCTGGCTAACGGCCCTGGTAAACACTTCAAGCCTCATACCGCCACAACCATACCTCGTGCGCCATAGCGGGAACAATATCCTGAAGGTTGGCCCAAAGAAGAGGAGTGCTTCCGACGATATTGGTGACCCTACGTGCGACCAACCAACAAGTGATTGCAACTAGTGGCGGGGCTTGATGAAGATTCTTGAGGAAGCTAGTCAAAATTGAGAGGGCGAAGAAGATAAATTATGCATGAACTCTGAGAAATAATTGGTATTCAAATCTAATAATTAAGGGTAGTTTTCCTAGATTAGGGGAGGGGGGGGGCAATGGCCCCCTTTGGCCCATGAAGCTTCGCCACCGATTGCAACCTTCGAGTTCAGAGCTAACTTGCTGAAGCAAGCAAAGTAATCATGTTCTCTTCAGCATTTTCCAACCTTTAGGGGAGTGTGTTCTCACTGCCTGAAGTCCTCTCAATGAACGGTGCTGGTCGTTCTAAAAGAGAAACACTACCGTTTTCACGGTATCCTTATGAACAGACTCTGCATCAAGGTTAATATTCAACACCTGCATAGTTTTTCAAACACTTCCTCATACCGTTATCACTACTTAATTGCAAGAAAATTATTATTTTTATTATTGCTTCTGATAGTTTTGGGAACCGGCTTGCTATAGGACTTTGTCAGCACGATCCTTCTAAGCCACATTGTAGAACTCCATACAATCTAACCCAGGGAAATGTCTTAAATGCTGATAGATCACACTCAACGCAGCGAACTCTGTTCCACAAATATTTTTCGGTAAGTAAACTTACATATATTGAATAAATGCTCCAGTTATTTGCTCCAAAAGTTCAAACCATAGTTTTAAATGCCAAATAGCGGCAGTCCTTCAAATCAGGTATAGCTTGCTATTTTGTAACTTTACCAGACAATTGTACATGAATACCATTTAGTGGCACCCTGCTCAAATTGCTATTTAAAATTTAGTCTTCTGGGCAACCAATGCTATTGAATTCATGCTCTAGCAAATTCATCCAAAAGTCCGAACTGACGGGCAATATATTTCAACAACATCCAACAATTTCGTCCCGCGATTTTTGATTGAAATGTGAAAATATGTTTCCCGGATGATAGGTTTCAGGGGATGACCTGATCGCAGGTGCAAGTCTAACTGGCCAACAGGTAGAATACTTGGACTTCCGGGCAAGCGATGCTCTTGGTACTCCTTATCTTATAGAAGGTGTGCTTGCTACACCCAGTTTTTCTAATTTCCCAATATATGCGGTGTGCTAGATCATTGATTATCCAATCACTTCTCCATTATGCATTATTGGGTTGATATGTTGGTGTTTGAACTTCCTCAGATGAAGTTGGTCAGGCAACCTATTCAACTTACCATGATCAGACTGCCATCTTCAGCGGATTACCTTCAACTGATGTGCGTGCTTTCTTTTGAACAAGTCATGGGAATTAGTTTACTCTTCAGAACAGAACAATTATCTTTGCTCAGGCCAATAATGTATCCGTCTACAGCAATCACAATGCTTTAGATTTTTTTTCTTCATTTGTTATGCCATGATGACGTTTGTTCTTGCAGTTCCAGGAATGGCCACTAGTAGAAGAATCACATGTGGCAGACCAGGCGCCTTTATACTCGCTTGCACCGGTATGCGTTGTTTGATACCCATGATGACCAGTGATAACTTCTGTTGACATGAGCTCAGCTGCTAAATTATGGGGCGTGTGTTACTATATTCCAAATGTCTCTTTCCATTTCAAAATAAGATGATAGCAAATTGATGTTTACCATCATAATCGTACCAAACTGTTCAAACCCCGACTGCTTAAAGGTTAAAATTGGGCATGAATTTAAGATCTTCCTTTCCTTCGTGCACTGATGCCTGATGGTGTGTTCCTTTTGTTTCAGCAATGCGGACGAATTCCAACATCTCATGGTTAAATTTCAGCAATCCAGACCTTGCTCTACTAGACTAAACAAGATGGTGGCAACCGGTGATTTAAGTATGGGATTCAGCGTGGCAAAGTTTGTGTAGTGTTTCTGAGTAGCAACGCAGATCTTTCATATTGCTCCATGTGGACCAATGGACCATGTATGTTAAGTTTGCTAGTAGACATTTGGCTTGTACGTATTCTTATAAAAATATCGACCTTTTTTCTAAGTTGAGTTTCCTATGTATGTTCGCACATTTTCACTCATAATATGCTGTGCATCATGAAATTGTTCTCAACAATTTGAACAATGGTAAAATACACAAATGTGAAGAGAGAACACAATAGTTATACAAGATTGGGTTCAGTTTCTTAAATACAAGAGAGCTTCCATTTCTCCAGGATCCTATCAGCTCCTACACCAAGCCCACACAGATCGACACCACAAGCCCTCATCCATCCTCCGCTGTCCATCTGCCAAAGCAAACAAGAACGCAAGATACATTAATCTTCCACCATTGATTGATTGAGCCATGGCTTTGAGCACATTAATTCAGACATGGGTGCAGAGCTCACCTGAGTTGGGACCGACTAGCCAACCACGCACGCATGGCCGCTGATTAGTAGCCGATGTCGGCGTCGTCGACGACGAGGTCGCCGTTGATGAGCTCGCGGTAGGCGGCGACGGGCCAGATGAAGCCCCTGGGGATGATCCTGGCGGCGAGCTCGACGTCGATGATGATCTCCCTCATGGCGGGCTTCTTCTCGCCGCTGACGGCGATGAGGTAGCTGCGGCCGACCCACCCGATCCAGCCGGCGATGTAGAGGAAGAGCACGCCGGGGGTGATGAACTCGCCCCAGTGCCGCTGGTCGCCGCTGACGATGAGGTGGGGCAGGCCGTCGGAGCCGCAGAGCAGGCCGAACTTGCCGTAGTTCTCAAACCGGCGCTTGGTCTTCTCGATGGTGGCCTGGATGGCGAGCGCGGGGGCCGAGTCGGGCGCGTACTTCTTGAGCGACGAGTTGAGCTTCTTCACCGACTGCTTCTCCCGCTTGGCGAACGCCTTGGACTCCTTGCACGGGGTCAGGCCCGCGATGTCGGCGGCAGCCGGCGGCGGGGAGGTGGCGGCGGAGGAGAGGAGGACGGAGGAGAGCGCCAGGGCCGCCGAGAAGGTCTTGATGGAGGCGGAGAGGGAGGGGGTGGTGTTGTCGCCGCTGGACGCGGAGCAGGAGACGGAGAGGCGCGCCGGCGGGCGGGCCAGGCGCGGCTTGGCGGCGAAGGCCGTGGAGGTGGCGATGGAGGCGGTGAGGGCGGCCATTGCTGCTGCGTCCGGCGTGTCCTTGGCGCGCGCGCGGGCGGGCGGGCGTGTGGAGGGGTTTGATTCGTGATCGTTGGAGGGTGGGGGTGGGCGATTAGTTTGTGTGGGTTTGTAAGAGGAGGGGATAAGGGGCGTGGCGCGAGTGGGTGAGGCGGGGATAAGGGGGAGTGAGGTGGGCGCGCGCCATTGGCACGGGGGAATCCGGCGTGGCCGGGTGGGAGCCGGCGGGAAGATTTTGTGGGGGCAAAGGCCTTGTGGCTGCGGTGCGCCGTGGCCAGCCGGGGCTACGTGCTGGTCATATTTTGAAGAAAAAAAAGAATCAAGACATCGACATACAACATGTATTTACCATGGTCCAAGAATACTATCTAAACCTGAATTCCGGAAATAGTTTGAAGAACAAAAAGAAAAATATGTGTTGGTGCTGATTTGAATTACTTGCTACCACTGTTCAGCGTTGGATCCGCTTTTGCTTGTTTCTCGAGCTACGGGATGGATATGGGTTTGAATTTTTGTGGGATGGCACATACATCGTGTCAATGGTTTGATATTGTTTTTAATCTTTTTAGCGATTTCTAGAGGCGATCGAAACAACAAGGGAAAATACCACTTTCTTTCTCATTTCTAAAGACGAGGTAATGCACTAGCTCCAACACCGCACCACAGGACAACGACTAGATTTTGTACAAGGATTTACGATTTTACATGTTGCACTCTCCACGTGGGTTGTCCTCAAGCATGAAATTGTTAGACTAGACATGATTATCAATATTATTCTCAGCAAGAAATGCACTTATCATAAATCTCTACCACCTTACTGTCCCAGATCCGTCATGCCTAATTTCCAGATACCACTCATTCCAAAGTAGAAAAGATATTGATCTCGAGGAATGCTCGATGATGAGGAGACTTCATTGCCTAGCTCTAGCCGATTAGAATTTGGAGCTTAATAATAATACAAACCAAGGAAAGTTGAACGTGGTGAAAGGTCACAAATGAGAAAGAAAGTGTGGCCAATTCGTATGATGAATGTTGGAAAGGAGAAGCTTTATATAGGCATGCAACATGAGGGTGAGGTACACTATTACTTTAAGAAGGCTCTCTTGCGGGTAACTATGCCCATAGTCATTGCACGAAGGGATGCATGTCAGGTTAGAGCATCTCCAGCCGTTGCCCCCCCCCTCCCCCCCAGGACGCATAAAAATCGCCCCCTGGGGCGAGCCGGCGATACAATCGGCGCTGGGACCGGTTTTGCACCTAGTCGTCGCCCCCAGGTGCCGAAATTGGCCCATTTTTCAGCCCCATTTCGGCGAATAAAGGGCCCATATGAGCGAGAATAGGCCCATATTCGGCGTGGTTCGCCGTGTCTCGGCGTTCAATTATCAACATAATTTTTTTATCGCATATTTCATCACAGAAAAATCAAATACTTCAACAAAATAGTACAACAATAAATAGTTCAATACAAATTATATAGTTCAACAAATAAAAACTCATATTTCATCACACGTCGCGTCCGGCGTCCCCCTTGAGCCTCCATAGGTGCTCAATCAGATCTTTCTGCAGTTGATGATGCACCTGTGGGTCTCGGATCTCCTGACGCATACTGAGATAGGCAGTCCAGGTTGCCGGTAGCTGGTGATCAACTTCGGCTAGAGGACCCTTCCTGTAGTATGGTTCAGTGTCAAACACTGGGTCTTCTTGCTCGCTCTCGATGATCATGTTGTGCAAGATGACACAACAAGTCATAATCTCCCACATTTGATCTTTGGACCAGGTCTGAGCGGGGTACCGGACAACAGCAAATCGAGATTGGAACACGCCAAATACCCGTTCGACATCCTTCCTGCAAGCCTCCTGAATCTTCGCAAACCAGGCGTTCTTGCCTCCTGGCACAGGGTTTGAGATCGTCTTCAAAAATGTCGACCATCTCGGATAGATGCCATCAGCTAGATAGTACCCCTTGTTATAGTGCCGCCCATTGATCTCGAAGTTCACCGGAGGAGAATGACCTTCAACAAGCTTGGCAAAGACAGGAGAGCACTGCAGCACGTTGATGTCATTGTGAGTTCCTCGCATACCAAAGAAGGAGTGCCAAATCCAGAGGTCCTGTGTGGCCACCGCCTCAAGTACCACACTGCAACCGCCTTTGGTGCCTTTGTACATCCCCTGCCAAGCAAATGGGCAATTCTTTCATTTCCAATGCATGCAGTCGATGCTTCCAAGCATCCCAGGAAATCCTCTTGCTGCATTCTGTGCTAGGATCTGAGCAGTGTCTTCCGCATTGGATGTTCTCAAGTATTGCGGTCCAAACACTGCCACCACTGCCTGACAGAACTTGTAGAAACACTCTATGCCGGTGGACTCGGCCATGCACCCATAGTCGTCGAGTGAATCACCGGGGAGCTCCGTATGCAAGCATCCTCATCGCTGTCGTGCACTTTTTGATTGAGGTGAATCCAAGTTTCCCGGTGCAATCCATCTTGCACTTGAAGTAGTTGTCGAACTCCCGGATGGAATTCACAATTCTGAAGAAGAGCTTTCGGCTCATCCGATAACGGCGCTGAAATGTTTTGTCGCCGTGAAGTGGAGCATCGGCGAAGTAGTCGGAGTAGAGCATGCAGTAGCCTTTGAGACGATGCCGTTTTTTTGCTTTCACCCGCCCAAAAGCCGAGCCACCTCGCCGCGGCTTTTCATTGCTCGCCGGCAGCTGGGCGAGGGCGGCGAGCACCATCATATGCTCTTCTTCCTGGACGTCGGCCTTGGCTTCCTCCTCCAGCAGCGCGGCGAGCGCTTCCTCGTCATTCGAGTCCATCGCCGAGGCAGACAAATTGCCGAACACCTTGCGCCCGGTGGGCGTGCACCCGCCACTAAAATGCCCCTCCGCGGGCGGAAACGGCAGCCGGAAACGCCCAGCTGCTGTTGGAGGGGCTGCCTCGGCGAACCTCTGCTATTTTTCCGGCAGGGAATGGCTATCTAGCGATGAAAGGCGGCGGCCGGCGCCGGGATATAGCTAGTGGCGGCCGAGGGCGCGGGGGCTGGAAGGCGAGTCGGGGAAGAAAATCTTGACTTTTCACCTGAGGGTGTGGGCCAGCCGCGCTTTTCCCTTGCGCCGGAGCCCCCGATCGCCCCCCAGTGCGCCGGGTTCGGCCTGCGGTCGCTAGGCGGAAAAAGGGCCGAACCGGCGCTTTTCATCGTCCTGGGGGCGTGACTGAGGCGTTTTTCTGGCGCCGGCGCCAAAAAGTGGCCTGGGGGGGCCTCTTGAGGGCGCGGCCGGAGATGCTCTTGCCATGTAGATAGGACAAGGGGGGCTCACCCATGCGACTCCATCTCTCTCTCTCTCTCTCTTTGAAAGTTTGAAAAAACTTGAAAGTTAAATTTCGCAAAAGTTAGAAATTTCCGATAGCTAAACTTTCTTGAAAATTAGAATACTAATATTTTTAATTCTAGAAGTCCAAGTTTTCAAAAGGTAGAAATATTTGAAAATTTAAAGTTCCATTTTATTTTTATAAATGTTGGAATTTCTGGAAGTTGGGTCTGCATCTTGTAGAAGTTACTGAAAAGAAAATTTTGGCCAAGCATAAACATTAAAAAAGGAAATCTCACCACGTCTAGGAAGTGATAGTTGAAAAACCAATTAGCGTGACCTGTTGATTAGAATCGTCCCCAGTGCTCTTACAATTTAAACTTTCCTGACATAGTTGAGTAATGATGCAACTATAATTTCATAGGATGATCTTACCCGCATGTATCTTTGGTATTATCCATGAGCAAGAGTACAATGACTCCCTAGTAAATTGTCCCACTAAAACTTTCTATGGCTTGTTGAAATCACTTAGTCTCGACATTTGCCTACAACTGTAGAATAAACTATCACATGCATGTGTCTCACAATACACATGTAAAATCTTTCTTTCATGTTATCTCGGAAGCACAGGTCGACACATTTATGTTTTGTGTGAGGGTCGCACTTGAAAATTTGGGTGGGAGTCGGCGGGTAGATTTCATGTTATCTAAGAAACACAACTGTAGAATAAACTATCACATGCATGCGTCTCACAATACACATTTTTGTTTCTAGAGCTCTGCGATAGATATCGGTTTGAATTTTTGTGAGATGGTACACACATAGTGTCAATGGCTTGATATTGTTTCAAATCTTTTTTTGCGATTTCTTGAGATGATCAAAACAACAACGGGAAATACCACACACATGGACAAGGTAATGGACTAGCTCAGTAGCTCCGACACCTCACCGCGTGGCAACAAGTAGATTTTGTATAAGGATTTGCTATTGTACAAATTTCACAATACACCTGAATGGTCCTCAAGGAGGAATTGCTATTTTCTGTTGTATTTCTAGCATTATATTTTTTATATTTATGGCACTACTCTACCAATATGTTACTCTTCTATCATTAATATTTGATAAATTTTAAAATATTATACCAAATAACACCTATTTGAAGTTAAATAATTAAGTGAGAATATGCTTTAAGTTGTATTAGTTCTTTAATTACAAGAATTCTTCAATATTTATGGCCTCCTTCTGCACTAAGGCTCTAAATTTTCGGAGATGCCCAGCCCATAACAAAATCCTAAACCTACTCATGATTTGTTCGTAGCCTACGGACCCCCCACCCCCCCTTGAATTTCATGGTGGGCCCCACTTCACTACTAATATCCAATTAAAAACTGGCACATCATCATGTAAAGTTAATTTTGTTAAATTTATCCATATGTGTAGCATTTTTTTTGGCTCGTAATCATGGTCCGTTTTGCTTTTGGGACTTTGACCCAAGGTAGAGGCGAACAAGCATAATCTTGGTTGTGCATGAGCATCGTGGCAGGGTACATGACACTTGACAAAAATTCAAGGAGATGAATAATTGAACAACGAATATAGCCTCGTTTCATGTTGATAGTGGTCTGTTCGGTTGGTTTGTTTGGAATTTCCTTGTGACCTTGTCCTAGACGAGTATTTTCAATGATTTTCTATC